AATTTCATTTGGTGACCCCTAGTTCTTGTGTTATGAGAAGTAGTAAACAACACTTCCTTATCTACTTTCTCTATACCAGTCATGATTTTATAGACCTCAATTATATCTCCCCTTAGCCGTCTCTTTTCCAAACTGAATAGTCCCAGTCGTATTAATCTCTCCTCATATGGAAGCTGTTCCATACCCCTAATCATTTTTGTTGACCATTTCTGAACCTTTTCCAATTCCAATATATCTTTTTCGAGTTGGGGCAACCACATCTCCACACAGTATTCAAGATGTGAGCGTACTATGGATTTATATAGAGGCAACATGATATTTTCTGTCCTATTATCTATCCCTTTCTTAATTATTCCCAGCATTCTGTTTGCTTTTTTGACTGCCGCTGCACATTGAGTGGATGTTTTCAGAGAACTATCCACAATGACTCCAAGGTCTCTTTCTTGAGTGGTAACAGCTAATTTAGACCCCATCATTTTATATGTATAGTTGAGATTATGCTTTCCAATGTGCATTACTTTGCATTTATCAATATTAAATTTCATCTGCCATTTTGTTGCCCAGTCACCCAGTTTTGAGAGATCCTTTTGTAGCTCTTCGCAGTCTGCCTGGGTCTTAACTATCTTTAGTAATTTTGTGTCATCTGCAAATTTTGCCATCTCACTATTTACCCCTTTTTCCAGATCATTTATGAATATGTTGAATAGGACTGGTCCAAGAACAGACCCCTGGGGGACACCACTATTTACCTCTCTCCGTTCTGAAAACTGACCATTTATACCTACCCTTTGTTTCCTATCTTTTAACCAGTTACCAGTCCATGAGAGCACCTTCCCTCTTATCCCATGGCAGCTTACTTTGCGTAAGAGTCTTTGGTGAGGGACCTTGTCAAAGACTTTCTGAAAATCTAAGAACACTGGATCTCCTTGGTCCACATGCTTGTTGACCCCCTCAAAAAATTCTAGTAGATTCGTGAGGCTTGATTTCCCTTTACTAAAACCATGTTGACTCTTCCTCAACAAATTATGTTCATCTATATGTTTGACAATATTGTTTTTTATTATAGTTTCAACCAATTTGCCTGGTACTGAAGTCAGGCCTGTAATTACAGGCCTGTAATTGCCGGGATCATCTCTAGAGCCCTTTTTAAAAATCGGCGTCACATTAGCTATCCTCCAGACATCTAGTACAGAAGCTGATTTAAACAATAGGTTACAGACTACAGTTAGTAGTTCTGCAATTTCACATTTGAGTTCCTTCAGAACTCTTGGGTGAATACCATCTGGTCCTGGTGACTTATTGCTGTTTAATTTATCAATTTGTTCCAAAACCACCTCTAATGATACCTCAATCTGGGACAGTTCCTCAGATCTGTCACCTAAAAAGAATGGCTCGGGTTTGGGAATCTCCCTCACATCCTCAGCTGTGAAGACCGATGCAAAGAATTCATTTAGTTTCTCCACAGTGGCCTTATCGTCCTTGAGTGCTCCTTTAGCACCTCGATCGTCCAGTGGCCCCACTGGTTGTTTAGCAGGCTTCCTGCTTCTGATGTACTTAAAAAAAAAATTACTATTACTTTTTGAGTCTTTGGCTAACTGTTCCTCAAATTCTTTTTTAGCCTTCCTAATTGTATTTTTACACTTCATTTGCCAGTGTTTATGCTCCTTTCTATTTTCCTCACAAGGATTTAACTTCCACTTTTTAAAGGATGCCTTTTTGCCTCACACTGCTTTTTTTACTTTGTTGTTTAGCCACGGTGGCTCTTTTTTGGTTCTCTTACCATGTTTTTTAATTTGGGGCATACATTTAAGTTGAGCCTCTATTATGGTGTCTTTAAAAAGTTTCCATGCAGCTTGCAGAGATTTCCCTTTTGGCGCTGTACTTTTTAATTTCTGTTTAACTATACTCATTTTTGTGTAGTTCCCCTTTCTGAAATTAAATGCTATAGTATTGGGCTGCTGTGGTGTTTTTCCTGCCACAGGGATATTAAATTTAATTATATTCTGGTCACTATTACCAAGCGGTCCAGCTATATTCACCTCTTGGACCAGATCCTGTGCTCCACTTAGGACTAAATCAAGAATTGCCTCTCCCCTTGTGGGTTCCAGGACCAGCTGCTCCAAGAAGCAGTCATTTAAGGTGTCAAGGAACTTTATCTCTGCATACTGTCCTGAGGTGACATGTACCCAATCAATATGGGGATAATTGAAATCCCCCATTATTATTATTGAGCATTTCACAGTTAGGTGGTCGGTAATATATCCCTACTGCTATATTCTTATTATTAGAGCATGGAATTTCTATCCATAGAGATTCTATGGTACAATTTGATTCATTTATGATTTTTACTTCATTTGATTCTAAGCTTTCTTTCACATATAATTCCACTCCCCCACCAGCACGACCTGTTCTGTCCTTCCGATATATTTTGTACCCTGGTATTACTGTATCCCATTGATTATCCTCATTCCACCAAGTTTTTGTGATGCCTATTCTATCAATAGCCTCATTTAATACAAGGCACTCTAGTTCACCCAGTTTATTATTTAGACTTCTAGCATTGGTATATAAGCATTTTAAAAACTTGTCTCCTTTTAGCTGTCTGCCATTACACGATATAATTGAATGGGACTCTTTTTTTATTTGACTGTTTCTGATCAGACCCTGCCTGTATTTTATTTTGGTAACATCTGAAAAATGGGAATTTTTAAAAGAGCACGGCTGAGAAGCTTTATGACTGTGCTGCATAGACCCTATAAAGAGAGATTTAGAAATCTGTGACACTGCTCTATGATCTATCTGTATTATTTTGTTGGTATGGTATTGCTGTGTCTGTAGGTTCCTAAAGCATTATTTTGCAATAACACATGCTTAAGAAAATTGTATGGTTTGGACAACTGAGGTCAGAAATTCACTATTTAGAAACAAACTACATGAGCAACCTTGAAGATCTTTATCACTTCCTAGCATCAAAAGTGTTTCCCAGCACCATAACATTAAACTTTAATTGTTTTGCGCAGAGTGAGTTACTGCGTGTTATGGGTGTGATGGAAAGGGCATTTTCACTACTAATACCGGTAAGTAAACAACTATCTTCATTGATGAAAAGAAATGGTGTGTTTTTTGTCAGATTTTTAATAATGATTAACACATGATTCACCTTAATGGTTGTCGTCCCAGAAACATACGTGAATTTGTTCTCTGTCAAGGGTCAAGCTTGCAGTTTTGTCATAAAGTGTGTAATGTCAAAGGAAATGAATGGTAATGGTACATTGTACACCTGTAAATGATGTACAATTTTGAGGTTGTGTTTAAACATTGAGCATTCACTGTAAAACAAATGAGACAGACTAAATGTTCTGTACATTTAAAAAATAAGGCCCACTGCATAACAACACTCAAGGACAGAACAGATATTGCATTCATCAATTGACAGGCAGAGCATTTCACTTCAAGGCTTTGATTATATTTTTCCTGTGTCTAGAGATGAATCTCCCCCTAACTGCAGATAACTGGCTAGAACTTGGAATAATATTGTTAATTGGTCACATGGGAAGATGATCCATTTTTATGGACAACTAATACCCCAAATCCTCTAGGATAATATAGTTGTCCTCATGTAAGGACCCCCAGGTCCAGTATCATTATTCAATAGAATTAGCAATGTGGTCTACAAAGAGTGTAAAGTGCCCCTGTACAAGGAATCCATGTTCAAATCTGGCCAGTCATTCATCACTGTGGAATGATTTGTGGGGGTACTGTGTATCTGCCTTAGTAGCTGTTACTGGTTATTGCTGAAGTTTAGTTGTAACTGCTTGAGGAGGTCTGCCTTTATCGTTAGCTGTGGTTTGAATGCAGATCACATGGGATCTGAAAAAGATCTTGCTCACTCACTATATGAGGTATTCCCAGGCAAGAGAATGCCAGGTTGAGAGCAAGAGGCGGAAAATTGACTGCTTCTAATGCAGACTTGAGGCAATGTCTTGATTCCCACTGTGGTGGTCTAAATAGGAGTTTTCTTCCAGGTGTTTTCTTATTCTTCCTCTAATAAGTTAAGGCCTGACCAAGAGCCCAGTGACTCTAGTGGGTATCTTTCTCTTGCCTTCACTAGGTTTTGGCTCAGGCCCTTGATGTGCCATGTGGTGTTGGCAGGAAGGCAAGGCTGAGGGAGTACGTGTGATGTTTGGACCTGAACATTGTGAGGTTCATCGTGGTTCCTTCAGGAGGACAGTTTCAGGCCAGCCCTGTCTCTTGGATAAATGAGCTTTGTCTTTCAGGCTGACAGGTCTGTTGTCTCTGAGCAGAGCTGTTGAGGTACTGAAGGATGAAGCTCTACACTAGGTGTCCTGGACATAGGCTGTTTAGTGCTTTGAAAATAAAGACTGGGATGAAATCCTAGATTAAGGGTGAAATCTTGGCGCTGGTGAAGTCTATGGGATTTTTGCCATTGACTTCAGTGGGGCCAAGATTTCACCCCACGACCATAAGTATAATGCAATGTCATATGTAGAGGAATGATCTCTTGGACTGCAATAGCACCTCCATATATGCTTGGAGAAATTCTTTGTGTTTCAAATTGTCTGTTATGAACTTAGTTTTCTGCCATTGTGACTCAAGTTTCCAGCCCTCTCTTTACTTGGAACTTTACTGAGAACTCTGGGGATCCATATGGGTAATGAAGAAGGACAGGATGTTTTGTTTGATTTATGCAATTGACTTGTGCATTGATACAGGAAAATATACTGGAAGCATAACTTATACTTAATTTGTGTGCAATGATGGGCATTTCCAGAGGAAAATTCAGGGCATTCAGTTTGATTCCAGATACATTTAATGATGGAAAAATTGTTACACTTTATTTAATACAATATAGCATTTTATGGTGATTTTTTTCTGCATAATTAAATGACAGGCTTCAGGATATACAGACACATAGGACATCATTATTTGTTGTCTTTTCCTTTGTTTACTGACTGAGAAGTATTATCAGTAAACTAGTGTTAACTGGCTAGAGCAGAGCCAATTATGTCATGTAAAGCATCCACCTGTAAAAGAAGAAAAAAGATACTGTTTTGCATTGTAATTGTGCTTAAGAAAAGAAGTGATCTAAAAAGCCCCACTTAGTCTTAGATTAATGATATCCACATAATGGATATCAAGAAGAAGGGGAAGTAAATGGCTAAATTAATTGTATGATGCTAGTTGCTTCCTTTTACAGACCTACTGTTTCCTAAATAGCACCTTTAGAAATAGCGGGTGTGGTAGTTTAAAGAGATTTCATGGCAGGTAGGACTGTGTAGTGTGCATTTGCAACATCATACTTGACGGCATAAACTTATTCTTCTTTATAAAAAGAGGCTAGCCTGCAAGGTGGTGCCTGTTCAGTAGGGCAACGTACACCATGCTGTAGTCTATTCACTTGATTAGTATTCGAGTGAGCTGAGTCCACTGTGCTGGGCACTGTATATAACCCTAGAAGGACACTCTTGTCCAAAGAGCTAACACAAGAAATAAGCAAAACAGACAAAGAGAAATAGTATCCGCATTTTACAAACAGAGACCTGAGGCGCACAGCCTAATTAAGTGACTTGTCCAAGGTCACACAGGACATCTGTGTCAGAGATGGTAACTTAACACAGATCTCTTGTCCCAGTCCAGTGCCTTAACCACAAGACTATCTTTCCACCGTAATTTATGGCAGAATTTTCTGTGCTTAAAAAATTTAGAGAAGTTTTGTACCTGATAGTGGTGATTGTGTAATAATTTTTTTTAAGTGTAACAGTTATTCCTTAAATTCTTTGGGGCAGGAACATCTTTTTGTTCTGTTTGCGTAGTGCCTCGCAAAAGAAGGAGCCCATGACTAGGGCTTCTAGGCACTATGGTAACACAAATAATAATAAAGAGCTATTGTTTAATTCTCCAAGTGAGGCTCTCATAAAGGTTAGCATTTTCTCTCCCCCAATATTACTTTACATACTGTTTTACACTGAAAGCAGTGTGCTTTACAAAGGTGGGTAATCACCCTATTTTACTAATTGGGAAACTGAAGCACAGAGCA